CATCTCATTCAAAAAAATTTAGGTTACTTCATCGGTAAGAAACTAATTAAAAAGACTACTAATTAATGACACATATTTCATATATACTGTTAATAATTAAAATTATAATATGAGGCTCGACAATATATTTATTCACAATATTCACATTATTATGGTATAATAGATATAAACAATTTCAATATTTTTCTTCTTCTCTATAAACATAGATTAGGTTACTTCTTCACCAAGAAACTAAGTTAAATGACTATTAATTGATGACACATATTTCATACACATTAGTGATAATTAAAATTATATAACGAGGCTTGATAGTATATTTATTGATCATTTTCAAATTGTGTTATGGTATAATAAATGTAAATAATTTCAATTTTTTTCTCCTTCTCCATCACCAAATTTTAGGTTACTTCATCACTAAGAAACTAAGTTAAAATAATATTAATTAATGACTCATATTTCATATACATTGATAATAATTAAAATTATATAACGTGGCTCGTTAGTATATTTATTCACCATATTCACCTTGTATTGTGGTATAATAGATGTAAACAATTTCAAGATTTTTCTTCATCTCCGTCACCAAATTAAAGGAGTTGAATAAATCGTTTTAAAATTTTTATCGTTTTTCAAAAAGAGATATCAAAGTTTTACAAATGCACCTAAGTTTTAAAGCAAAAATAGAGATCATATGCTTATATTGAAAATCAACCATAGATATAATTTACTCATTTCACAAATATCACAGATTGTTCAAAGAAAATGCACAAAAAGTAACACACTATATTAAATTGATAAGTTGTAAATTACACAAGATGTGTTTTTTAGAAGAATTCAATTATTGAAAGATTCTAACACCACTAGTCCGCATATTTTAATCAGCATTAAAACTAAATTTGGTTACCAATTCTAACAAAAGCTAAACTTAGGTAAAAAGTTTCTACCAACAAAAATTAACGATAAACTACACAAAGAAACAAATACCTAAACATGAAATTACCTATGAACATTAAAATATGTGTGTGTGAGACAGAGAGAAATAGTAGACCGGGATATATAGTGGTTCAACTCTATCATCCTCGCAGGAGCGACTCCACTCTAAAATGGTTCTCCATTGAAAGTAAACCTTCCAATATATTTTTAAAAATATTACACAAGTTGATACAATCACTAATCCATAATAATGATAGGAAAGATAAATCTCCTATCTGGATCTTGAAATGCTTACAACTTAATGTCAAACTCCCGCTTCTTAAATTTGTAAGCTTTACTATTCTACTCCAAGTCGTTGTGTGTGGAATACATCCTTGATCTTACTGATTTCTTGAGCGATGAACTGTCATAAGATCGAGAAGAAATTCTATCTTGGCTATAGGCTTCCTCACAACACTACCAAGGTAAACCAGGAGAGAAGAACCTCCTTCTTTTCATTGGAATTTGTCATAACCAGTCATAACAACTACAATCTTACAAGCTTCTTAAATATATTTACCAAACCTTCAAGAACAATTAGTTTCAAGACACGTCTCCCTCAATAATTACAAATCTCCATGATCAAGATCTAAAATCAAAACTAGATGTTAAAGATTAAAGAAATTTTGTTTGCAGAATTTTTTGAGTTTTCAAAAATGAGAGGTTCTTCATTTATCAAAATCATAATGTTGATTATGAAACTATTTTTTTAAAAATAAGGTGACAAAATGAATTTATGTGTTGGAGATTGTGCATAAAATATGTAAGAGTGGGTCGTTTTATTCGACTCAAGAGCATTGGTGATTTTAGTCAAAATGAGCAAGTAAAATAAAACAAGATCTCATAAAGAGAAGCAACACATTTCCTTGATTTCATTCATGTTGTATCCGTGATTTGAGTCTTGAATGCTCATGATTCGAGTCATGTACAAAGCTTGACTCGAGTTAAATTGGTTAAAAACAAACAGGAAAAATGAAGGATCTTGTGATTCGAGTAATGTAGGACGTGTGATTCAAGTCAAATGAGGCAGTGGCTAACAAAAAATATTTGATTTGAATCAAGTACAACCTGTGATTGGAGTCACAATGTTGCATGATTTGAATCATGTACAAATTGTGATTCGAGTCACAAACATGAAAATTTTTATATTCTCCTCTATTTGATTTGATTCGAGACATGGATTGTGAGTGACTCGAGTCCCACACAATAAATCTCAATGTTTCAAGTGTTGGGAAATAGTTTGAGATTTCACTTCCCACATAACTTAAACCAACTTTAAATATAATTCTTGTTCCATTAACTCAATCAATTGAATAAAAGAATAATGAATATATTAAATACAAACAATCAATTTATGCAGGCAAAAAACAAATGGATTTAAAACTTGATCTAGAGATGTGCAATTGTGAAGGAGACTCAATAAACAATAATAAACAAAACGAAAGAGACAAGGAAAGTAAAAAAAAAATGTATTTTTGTTCTCCCCTAAATATATAAGAGACATGCAACTTCATCTTGTTCGTAAGGGCCACTCCTGCGGCAACATCCAAGATCATTCGCGTCATTTTTCAAAGGTGTAAACTATGAGCCATTTTTCAAGTAGAAGGTGCAAGCATTTTCTTAGAACTTCCTTGAATCACTCCCATGATTTGAAGAGTGATTCTCAATCATTCTTCCTAAAGCATGTCATTTGGTTCCTTATCTGAGCTATTTAGCTCGGTGGAAAATATCTAGCTAGGAACGCCTTTTTAAGCTCATCCCATGTTTTTATTGAAATCGACAAAAGAGACTGCATGCATGCGCGGGCTCTGTCCCTAAGGGAAAATAGAAAAAGTCTAAGTATAATAGAAATTGGGTCTACTCCATTTCATTTTAGAGTATCGCATAATTTGAAGAAAATATACAGGTGTAAATTTAGGTCTTCTATCAATAAACTAGAAAACCAGTTATGTTGTATCATAGACACCGGTGAGAGGCCTCTATGGCAGACTAAACGATACTTGAATGTGGTTCTTCATTCGATGGTACATGATACTCTATTAGCATGTGGTTGTCGTTTTTGGCCACCATTGCTAATTGCTATAATCAGCGTCTTTTATGGAAATAATGCTAGATTTCGTTTATAAGTTCATCTAGGTTCTTTAAATTACATGTTCTTCACATATAACCAATGACGACAAAATAAAAAATAAATAAAAAATGAGACATTTGCTTTAGTCTAAACGGTGAAACAATATAATATTAATATTCAAAAAATTTGGTTCTCAACAGCAGTGCCAAAATATTTGATATGTCAAAGTAGTAACTATGACCAAAAATAAATATTTGTTTTCTATTGTTTAAATTCTTAGCTAAAACTATCAATTCTAAAGGTTTTGAGTACGAGAAAAATTAAAATTACGATTTCTTACTAATTAAAACAAGAGTCTGAGACTTCCATTCTTGTCTACCTATTGCAATCAAGAAAGTCCTATATCAATTATAAGGATAATTTCATTTATTTATGTTAAAAAACTAAAACTATTGGTAATGTCCGCTTTCATATCAAATTCTATCCACACAAATCACCTGCTTTCACATCACAACTAGTGTGTTTAGAGACCGATTTAAAAGGAGTGCATTTTCTCAATTAATCTTGAAACACTTTCAAAATCTCAGAAACAACTGTTTGAATTTCTGAGTAGGATATCATTTATGCCCTTTCAATGCATAAAAGATGTCTTGATCTTCCTAATTTCATAGCGAACAATTTACTTTGTGAAAAAAAATTATCAAACAAATTTTTACATGGTGATCGATAAAACAACCCAAGCAAGCATAACATACATTCTAATGATAATGATGACAGTAATAGATGCAATATAGGAATCTGAGTAAAACAGAAACCAAACTTGAATTGAATTACTACAAATAATCTTGAACTATATAACATAAGCAAGAAGGAAAGAAAGCATAAAACTTAAGCTACTAGCTTAGAAATTTGAGTAAAATTTATTACAATCCTTCTTGGCCTATTGTTCTATGATTATAGAATATTTATAGGATCCAAATGACACTAATTGGCAGTAAAGAACTCTAAACATGAAGCTTAACCATAAGGAACTCAATAGATGCATAACAAAAACGGAAAACAGCTAAATTTCAAATTAGAAATCTGGAGGGATTACAACCATAATGGATGCTTAAGAGCTGGCCGTGATCACATGCTAATGAGGTGTCTTGGCGCTCTACAATAGTTACAACTTGAAATTCTGGCACACACAATATCAGATCTCAAGACTGATGTCTCAACACACATGCACAATGTCACGACAGATGTAACGATATCTGCGGACTGACAAAGCTTTTACCAAAAATAAAAACTATGTAGCATTTAAATGTGAAAGGTAAAAGAACACAAGAAATTGTTAACTCAGTTCGATGCAACTCACTTACTCTGGGGACTATCAAGCCATGAAGGAAATCCACTATTAATAGTATTAATTTTAAGCTTAAACAGACCTAGTTTACGACTTATCACTTAATCACTACCCAATACAACTTCTACCTAGGAACCTCCTAAATGTGAGAAATTGTCATCTCACTTCCAAACACCGCAGTGATATCTACAGCCACAACCCAGTGACTAGAAACTACAGCCACAATCTCTCACTACGCCAAAAATGATTTTTTGTATCACCTAATTTAATAGCACTTTTAAAAAAAATGCTATTAAAATGGAAAAAACACATTTATAATAGCACTTTTTAATCGGGCGCTATTATATAATACAGACTATGTAATTTTGATAGCACTTTGTACCAAAACGCTATTATTAAACTTCTTTAAGATAGCATTTTGTATAAAACGCTATTATTTGACTACCTATATAATAGCATTTATTAAAAAGCGCTATGTTATATATAATAATGAATTAATTAATTAATTGATAAAAAAAAACATTGGTATTATTGGTATAAATTGGGGATTTGGCGCACAGAAGAGAAGAGAAAAAGAAGAAGAAGTTTGGAAAGTGAAAATCGAAAAGAATGGACGATTACACGAGAGAGATGATGGACCTCAAAACCCTCGTGACTCGCACTCTTGAGAAGAAAGGCGTTCTCGCTAGGATCCGAGTATTTCATTGTTCTTCTCCCTTTTCTTCATTTTTAGGGTTTTCTTATTCAGATCCATAATTTTCAATTCTTCTTCATGTTTCAGGCTGAATTAAGAGCTAGTGTCTTTGAAGCTATCGAAGAAGAAGATCGTGTCATCAAAAAGGATCAAGCTCTGCCTCCTACATTGTTAGGTAGCTGTAACGATCGTGCTAAACAGCTTCACGCTTCTCCTTCTGGTAATTCACCTTTTTCATACTCATTTTCTGTTTATATGCTCTATAATTATGTTTTTTTTACCTAATTAGAATGTAATTTTGAGTTTGAATTACTTTAATTCAGTTATTTGCTACTATATATTCTCACACCTTTGTTGTATCCGATCCGACCTGTGCATTTTCATTCGCCTATTCTATTCTGCCTAATATGACTTATGTGTATTTATGTTTGGAGATGCTCCATTTTGAAATGTTTCTTTTTTGGTATTCACTATGCAGGTAGACTTCTTACTGCACTGGTATGTGAATACCTTGACTGGGCACAGCTTACTCACTCGCTAAAAGTTTATCTTCCAGAATGTAATTTGGTAATTAATCGATTTTCTGTTTTTCCTTGTATTTATTATTATCTTGTTGCTTTTTGTTTATTTCTGTTATTATGTTGCTTTTGACTTGGCACACTTTTTTTTTTGCAGGAGAAAGATTTTTGGAAGTCTGAGTTGAAAGAGTTTAGTAGCAAAAATGGATATGATCTTAATAGAAATGGAGACAGTCCCGTGCTCTTGGATGTGCTTGAAGGATTCTTGAAATTTGAGGTTTTTTATTTCATTGCACTCGTCATGTCATGTCGTTCTTTAATTCTTTATTACTGTGTTGTTTTATATGCGGGCTTTCTTGGTTGTTCTGCACTGTGATTAAGATGGGTTTTGGTCCTTTAGTAATGGAATCAAGGAATGCATATGCTGCAGTTTTTTTTTTATAGTTTTGTTTGGTTGAATCTAATGGAAATGTTTTGATGACATTCCAAGGCTCTTCTGATCAAGCTAGAAAGTGCTTGCCATGTTTAATTTCATAGCTTGTGAATTGGTCTCCTTGCACCTTTGTCTTATGTTGCATGTATGTGACAACTCAAGTTTGTGAATTTTAGGTTGTGAATTGGTCTCCTATTACAACCGGGGTTATGTCAAAATGTTGTAGGGTCTTTAGGTTAGGTTGGGTTAATAGCGAGTTTTAGCATCCTAGAGGCAAGATTTTGTAATTTGGGACTTTTCAAACTTAATATTTTGAGATTTAGGAAGGGAAATTATTAACTATTATCGAGGAGGCAGCGATATAAAGAACCAGACTAGGTTATATCTTTTTTTTTAAATGTGCAAATGATCTTGAAATTTTAAAGTTTTGATGACATGAAATAATGGGTGCCTTGATTGAATGGCCCATCCGCTACAGCCTGAATTTCTGGTGATTCAGGGATCCTTGACTGTGTTTACTTACCCCACCCATGTGACTACAAAACATATCAAAAGACAAATAAGAAATCTGTTGTTTGCTTAGAAGGGTACATGAGTTGCTACTTTATATTGATTATAGTACATTTGGGATTTTGTCATTTGACCTGAGCAATAAAATTAAATAAATTATTTGAAACCACCATTATTAGAATATTTGCAAATGTGTGCTGACTGTTGATTGATTCCATGATGATTATGATTTGATAGAACTTATCCCAAGCAAGGGCTAGTGGTAGGAGGTTTACTACTTCAGAAACTGAGCCTTTGCCAAACTCAGAATCACGGAACACGCGAAGGCATTCTTCATCATCTGTTGCTGGTGGCTTACCTCCACTAGGAAGGTGCATAGCTATACTCAGTATCATTTAGTTAAGCTTAAAAAAATGATTTTAAAGTTGTACAGAATCATTATATCTATTTTCTTTAGATAGTTTTACGTAAACTAGAAGCTATTTTTTGTTTTGTTTTTATTCTAGAAAACACTTTAATTCAAAAAGTAGTTTATAGTTTTTATTTTTTCAATTCTACTCTCTAGTTAATCCTGATGATCCATATGGTAGCTGCAAGCCAGATTTTATACAAGGATGTGAAGAAGATGAACTGAGTAAAAGAAAGGATCTCTATGACTTTGAGGTTTTGATTAACACTGATTGGCCTTTCTCAGATTCTGTGCTTCAAAGGCCTTTTATTGAAGAACTGTGTAAAGAAGCTTGTATGGGAGATTGCATGTGTTCTGTGGCTATTTTCAGGTTAGGTGATAGTTGTTGGATGAAGAAGTTACCACTCTCAAATGGGAAAGTTGATCCAACACTTAATGGTGCTAAGGCTTTCTTGAAAGTGAGAAAAGATAATACCTCCCTCCAGTCCTTTGATTTTCCTCCATTTCCAATCATTGCGAACAAGAATAATAATAGGGAAACGTTGGTTTTGGTTGTTTCTGTGCTTTTTGGTAGCTCTGCTATTCTCAATGTTGTATTGCTTGTAGCAATATGTTTCAGCACCTCCATAATTGTTCAGTACAAGAAGAAGCTTAGAAGAGTTAGCAGAAGTGAAACTAGTGTTGAAACCAATTTGCGTTGCTTCACTTACGAAGAGCTTGAAGAAGCTACTAATGGATTTGACAAAGAGCTAGGAAGGGGAGCTTTTGGTATAGTTTATGAAGGAGTCGTCAACAACAACACATGTTCCGAAACTCGTGTGGCTGTGAAAAAGTTGAACAATTTTTTGTTGGATCAAGCTCATAGAGAATTCAGGAATGAACTGAATGTCATTGGTCTCACTCATCATAAGAACTTAGTTCGTTTACTTGGATTTTGTGAGGGTGGAAGTGAAAGATTGCTTGTTTATGAGTACATGAGCAATGGCACTTTGGCAAGTTTACTTTTCAATGCTGATGAGAAACAGAAACCAAGTTGGAAACTAAGGCTTGAACTTGCAATAGGAATAGCAAGGGGACTTGTGTATTTACATGAAGAGTGCATTACTAGGATCATCCACTGTGACATAAAGCCTCAAAATATACTTCTTGATGATTACTTCAATGCAAGAATTTCTGACTTTGGACTAGCCAAGTTGATGAACATGAATCAAAGCAAAACCAACACTGGCATTAGGGGAACAAAAGGGTATGTTGCACTTGAATGGTTTAAGAACATGCCTATCACAGCTCAAGTGGATGTGTATAGTTATGGAGTAGTGCTACTTGAGATTATTTCATGTAGAAGATGTGTTCAAGAAATGGAACAAGAAGATGAAGAGAAAGCAATATTAACTGACTGGGCTTATGATTGCTACAAGGATGGTGCTATAGATGCATTGGTTGAGGGTGACAATGAGGCATTGGATGACAAAGAAAAGTTGGAGAAATTGGTAATGATTGCAATTTGGTGTGTTCAAGAGGATCCAGTTCTTAGACCAAGCATGAGAAATGTGATACATATGCTTGAAGGTACTGTTGAAGTGCAAGTTCCACCATACCCCTCACAAATTAGTATTCAATATTCTCTAATTTAATAACTTGGTTTGCAAGATTTGCAGATTGTGCTAATCCTTGTTTTATTGTTTTAATTGAAACTGTAAAATTTGAATTTATGTATGTGTATCAAGCTGTGGTTTTTTGTTCCTTGAACAGTAGTATTTGAGGTTCAAGATTGATTAGTTTACTGGGTATGAATAAACTTGATTACCCAGTTGTCTTGGATAATGTTAGTTTAATTATAAATTATCATATGTTTTCTACAAAATAAAATGCAACGTTAAATAGTTTACATATTATGATTAATCTAATTATATTTTACTAGATAGATTGCATTTCAAATCAATTTCCAGTTTGTGTGTTTGTATAATATTATGATTAATCTAATTATATTTTACTAGATAAAATGCATTTCAAAACAAACTTTCTGTACAAAATTATATTTTATTGGTTTAGAAGATATGGCACAGAAGATATTGTACTGTACTTATTAAAAATATTGTACCAAATATGTACCATTTATTAGCACTTTATTTGAAAGCGCTATCAAACATATGTTATATATTAGCGCTTTTTGTTTAGAGTGCTATAAAAAAATAAACAAAAAACATGCAAAATACTGACTTTGATAGCACTTTAATTAAAACGCTATTATAAATTGGTACTTTAATAGCGCTTTTAAAGTGCTATTAAATAAGAAATATTTACAATAGTGGCGCGGTTAATAGCACTTTTAAGCGCTATCAAAAACAAAAAAAGCGCTATTAAATAGCTTATTTGGCGTAGTGTCTGTGACTAGAAACTACAACTGAAGATCACACTTCAATTAGAAAAGGTCAAACTATCTTGCTTACAAGCTTCAAGAGTGAGACACTAACTTGATAAACTATCAAGTAACAATCAGTTAATTCAAATGTACGAGAAGATACACGAGGACCTACAAAGAAAAATAGAAACTCCTTGAAGAACCCTCAAAACCTAAGACTAAGAAATATCGGCTTCCCCTTATTTTTTACAAAGTTCTTAATGAATTTAGGTCTAGATAGTTTCTTTAAATACTCTTCAGAAATCCTTAGGCCTTGAACCTACCCCCAGATATTCCTTGTTGCACACACTGAGAGCTGCACTAATTTGTGCAGAAAGATCTCCTTAAATCTTGGAACAAAACACAAGGTTTCCCAAATTGTCTCAATACTTAATTTTGACAACCTGTGTACAGGTGGAGATAAATCAATTGTTCCAAAATTAATATTCTTGACCTGCGAAAAATCAGCGAGATAAAACCAAAAGGAATATCTCACAGAATCAATTTAAATTTGTCAAGAAAAATAATACAACGTGTACTGATGTTTTGATACAGGATGTTACAACATCTCTCATAACATCTGCCTTCAAATGATCATTACCAGCATGTTAGAACACCTTCTATAACATCATATTGCAAACTATATTTTAGCAAAATTCTTCCAATCTTAAAACCATGGTATTAACACAATCGTAATGAATGCTTATGGGATGACCATAACCACTTTGGTTTTCTCACCCTCTTTTGTGCTTATTTGACGATATTAGAAAACGATAAAAATATTGTTGATGATTATTTGACAATATTACTTGTACAACACATATAACAATATAAAAAGGATATATGAGGTGGTATTTTTAAATATTGCTTCCTTATTTTCTTCCCATGCTTGAAATCGTCATGTCCAGTTGGGTAGAAAGCATCGGAGAGGCGAGAACAAAAGAGGATGGAAGGCGTGCATGTAGTTTTGTCCTTGCATGTGCATGCATTGAGATATTGTAGTTGAAAGGGAAACTTAATTCACTATATTGTGTCAAAGATTCTCAAAGAGGCTCAAAATGCCTTATGACAAAAGAGATTGAGAAAGACGGGGTAGGTGGCATGCGACACTATAGAATATATTGTATACTATGCATTTTATTTGGTATTTTGATATTATGTATTTGTACATGATATTATGTATTATGGACACTACGCTAAAAATAAGCTTTAGCAGCACACATACGAAAGTGCTTTTAGAAAAAAGCGCTGTTGTAGGTATTAAAAAAAATTCGCTTAAAAAAAGGGCTTTCAAAGGGTTCCTTAAGAAAGCGCTTTTCAAAAGCGCTGCTAAAGGTCACCCTTAGAAAGCTCTTTTTGAGAAGCGCTGCTAAAGGGTGCCTTTCAGAGGGAACCTAAGAAAGCGCTTTTCAAAAGCGCTGCTAAAGGTCAGCCTTAGAAAGCGCTTTTCAAAAGCGCTGCTAAATCTGGCCTTTAGAAAGCGCTTTTAAAAGCGCTGCTATAGGATATGCTACGAAAGCGCTTTTTTATGTAAAAGCGCTGTTATACATGACCATTAGAAAGCGCTTTCGTAGGTTGTTTTATAATAAATTTTATTGTTTTTTATTAAAGGTGTGTTCGTACTGTGGCTGTTGTGTTTCCTTTCTTCCAACGTCCCAACCCCCAAATTCGTTCCTGTTCCTTCTTCGTCCTCTCACGGTAGCTCTTTCCGTTCAATCGCCACCATCGTCAACTCTCATCGCCGCTGCACGACTCGTCCCTCTCTTCACAAGGTTCGTACTGTGGCTGTCATGTATTCTGAAATCAGTTTTGGTTTTTGTTGATTATTATTTTCTTCTCATTCACAGTGTATTGGTTGTTGTTGTTGTTTGATGATTTTTGAATGTTTCCTAAAACCCTTTGATGATTTTTTTGTTACCTTTTTTTTGGAGCAATGGACGGTTTAGTGTTAGGTGATTATGTTTTAAAAGTTATTGAGCGTTTATTGAATAATCGAGAACAGAATATATTCTTGGAAGCCATAGTGACATACAAAATTCTTGTTTCATTGATTAGCAAGCACAGTTAGTGTTTCTCATTCACACTAGTTGGACGGCAGGTTGTGATTCCCGATTAAGGCTCACTGTCTTTTGATGTTTGTTTAATGTGTTTTGGAAATTAATCGGTTTCTTTAACTTCTTCAGGACCTTCCGATTCAGAGCAACATATCTCACCGAAGAACTCAAACGTGTCAAATCGTCAGAAAACAAGAGAATCGTCAGGTGATTGTTTCTTCTTTTCAATCTATACAAAATATTTTGTCCTTTTTGTTTATTACAAAATTTTGTATCAGAAAACATATCTTAGACTAAAATGAGGCCATGCCATATATAAGAAACAGATGAAGTTTGGTATAGGGTAGCCCTTGAGTTTGATGAAACAAGGGTGTACTAGTATATAAGAAACGGACATGTAGAGGGTTGTGCTAATGATGTTGTGTTGTGTTAGTGAATGGTGGTGGAAATTATGATTCATTAACAAACGGGGTTACCCATTTCACATTACCATTCATTATTATGTATCTATATATCTATATCTATATGTATATTTAATTAGAGATAATGTAAAGTGATTAATTAACTTGTTAATGAGATGGATAAAGAAACAAAAACAACTTTTTAAGGTAACAGAATGCATGCTTATATAAAATTGTGAGAGTTAAGAATTGTGATTAGTGATGTAATCATAAAATGTGATTAGTTGATAGAATAAAATGAATTTAGTGAAAAGTATTGAGTATTGGTTTTGTTATATGGTTGTGCAAGAGAAAGTGCAAGTTTTGAGTATTGGTTTTGTTTTCTAACTTATCATTTAGCTCAGATTGACTTAGAAACCGTAAACCATGGATAAGACATGGATGTATTCCAATCGATTGTCGAAAGAGTACGAGAACAGGGTATCGGAATTCGTTAAGTTTGCTGTTGCGCACGCCGAAGACCCTGGTCGAATGACATGTCCTTGTTTGTGTTGCTGTTATGGGAATCGGGTTGACGCGGTTCAGTTGGCATCGCATCTAATACGGTATGGAATTGATAAAAGTTATACATGTTGGAATATGCATGGTGAGAAAAGTGACGGGAATGATGAATCGGGGGATAATAGGACCTATGCTTCAAACGACAATGGCACAGATACATACGATTATGATCGAGTTGAAGAGATTGCAGAAGCGCTTGAAGAAGATCTTAATGATTGTCCCAAAATGTTCGAGAGGTTGGTAAGCGATGCAGAGAAACCGTTGTATAATGGTTGTACGAAATTCACAAGATTGTCTGCGGTATTAAAGTTGTACAACTTAAAGGCGGGAAATGGATGGTCGGATAAAAGTTTCAGAGTTATTAGCCCTTATGAAAGATATGCTACCAAAGGATAATGTTCTCCCCAATCGAACGTATGAGGCCAAAAAGATGTTGTACTCTATTGGCATGAGCTATGACAAGATACATGCCTGTCCAAAAGATTGCGTTTTGTTTCGAAACGAGTATGCATCGTTAAATGAGTGTCCTAAATGCGGTGCCCCTCGATATAAGAAAAAGTTGTCTCCGGCAAAAGTCTTATGGTATTTTCCTATAATTCCGAGATTTAGACGGATGTATCATAGTGAAACTGATTCAAGACACTTAACTTGGCATGCAGATGAAAGAATTTTTGATGGAAAGTTTCGACATCCGGAAGATTCACCATAGTGGATGAAAATTGATAATGATTATCCTGAATTTGAAAAAGACGCAAGAAACCTTCGCTTGGCATTGTCTACTGATGGAATGAACCCACACGGTATTCAAAGTATCTCTCATAGCACATGGCCTGTAATTCTTATGATTTATAATCTACCTCCGTGGCTATGTATGAAGCGTAAGTACATGATGTTATCTATGTTAATTTCTGGGCCTAAACAACCAGGAAATGACATAGACGTATATTTGGAACCTTTAATCAAAGATTTGAAGATTTTGTGGGAGAACGGTGTGGAGGTTTATGATGGGTATAGGAAAGAAAGTTTCAACTTGAGGGCGATGTTGTTTGGAACAATTAACGATTTTCCAGCCTACGGAAATCTATCCGGGTATAGCATTAAAGGTGAAAAAGCGTGTCCTATCTGTGAAGATGGAACCGATACGATGCGATTGAAACTTTGTCAGAAGAATGTCTTTCTCGGTCATCGTAGATTCTTAAATTCTAAACATCAATATC